TATTATTATAATTATTATTATTTCGGTTTTTTACAATTTCTTTATTCAAGTACTTGTAGTATTCGTGGTCGCGTAAAAATTGTTTGCCTGTCAATCTTCCATGAGGATGTATAGGACGTATCTTAATTGGTAGTACAACTGGCAGAAAGATAATTCCACCGTGAAAAAAATAAGCAAACCACATGCATACTGGTAACATACGTGACATTGGTCTGAAATATTTGCCTGGTGATTTTGTTAATAGATACGTATATACTTACCACCGTTATTGAATATCTCTATCGAATAGAAATAAATTTCAAATGAACGATAGTCAGTCGGCAGGAAATATTTGAAACCAAATTTCGTATGAAAGAAATCGTATTCTAATCGCGTCCTTCGGTTATCTTCACTGTCTTGCAAAATTACCCAAATACTTGCAAATGATTCAGCCTGTACTTTTACGCTCTTCGAATTATCATTCACGAACTATATTGTATTTCTTTCTTATTTATTTTTGTTATCGTTAACGGTCATTCGTAGATGCTTAGTATTTCGAGATCTTGCCAGTTTGTTCCGATGATGTAGTTAAGGGTTTCGCGATAGAATTAGACGAGAGTAATAATCGTATTAAAGAAGTAATCGCCGATTTTTTTGTTTTTTTCGATAACTGGTGCATTTGATGGTTGTATGAAATTGTTATTGAGTATCCAGCTGTATACTAGAAACCAGTATTACGAAGTGTACTTCACAACACAGTATTACGTTAAATAACATACTTAAAAAAACTAGAATAGCGAATAATATCGATAACAAGTTTGATCTGTATGGCGCAATTTGATCGATTTCTTTTACGAGATAATTCCATTTGGACGATCGTCGTGGAAAATGCAACGACAGTTGATTGATAAAATCAATAATTTCGATGCTAGAGTCGACATGCTATTGATATTTAATTTAATCCATTACAGGTACACGGGTAGACACAGTGGAATTGCATTTATTCGAAAAATTATTTAATGAAATTGATGATTATGAACTGAAATTTTCAAATAACAGTATCGTAACGAGTAATTTTCATAAAATATCTGTCTCTGTACAAAACATTCAATTTCAATAGCTTGTCGATCGATTTCCTCTCTTTTTTCATTTGATTTTAATATTAAACGTCAAGTGTAACCTGTTACGAGAGGTACATTGAATATTTTACTTTAATATGATACCTATCAAATATCAAATGATACGAGTTGAGACGAATAAAGTTCTATCGTCTAGTAAAAGTATGTACGTTTTCGGAGGGAAGCTCGGTGGTCGATCGAGATTTTCAAACGTGCGCGAAATTTTCCACGATGCGCCGTAACAGTCATCGATTTAATCACCGTACAAAACAGTTCGTCAAATTTATTTATTGTAGCTTTAACGTAAGCAGACGAAAGCTTCATGTCGTTTAGCTGTGATATCTTGAGCGTACGCGGACATACAGAGTTCCTACGTTTTATACATAGGCACATTATAT